ATCCCCTTCCCTCCCCTCCCCGCTCCTCCCCATGCTCTCCCCCCCCCCCTGTCACACCACCGTCTGCAGACCCATCCCTGCCCCCTGCCCTCCCGTCCCCCACTACTGACAGGGACAGAGACAGAGAGAAACCCAGATCTGAGATAGCGAGACAGCGAGCGAGAGGGAGGTAGCAAGATAGGGAATGTGTTCTTGCATAGCATTTTGTGTTGCTGCCATGTTCGCATTATGTCTAGGTTTCTTCTGCGTTGCGTACAAGTTGTCCATGTTTGTTCTATGTGGTTTTTACATTTATTTCACGTTTATTTCGGGTGTTTTATGGTTGTGTTTCACGTGTTTTTTTTAACATGTCGCGTTTTTTTTACACGTTTTTACCGTCTGTTTTCGTTTTTTGTTGCGTTGCTATTCACGTTTTTTAGGGTCGATGACGTTTAATTCTCGTTTATTTCACGTTTTATAGATGCAGAAACCACACCAGTACTAGATAGCCCGGCCGACATAATATTAGTCGATCTGATGCGACCCTGTGATTGGAACCAGACATTGACGAGACTTCAATCTAGAGTACGGTGGTTGCCCGGCGGGCCTTGAACTTCGAGGGTGCCACAACAATCGCATAGGTGCTCCCTGCTGCTGCACCGACGCCATAAATCACCACAGCGACCGCCTTGCAGGCGTTCCAGGCCGCTAAGCTTCTGGGACATCAGGCTTGAGAAACATTGCCTGGTCTCCATCGAGAATAAGCCCGACTGATACCCATTTCAAGCTTGCTGTAGTCTGGCACTGGGCAAGCTTTTTTGGTCTGCATCGGAGCATTAGCTCATTTCGTACTGCGAAGAGCTTCCAAGGCAAGGACTGTAGCATAAACCAGGCTCTGCCACACTTCCGAGCTGGTCAAAACCTTGAGGTCTTGTCAGACGGCAGAAGGAAATCGCAGGGGAAAACCGATCAACTTTATCAACTGTTTCATAAGTTGCAGATCTGCAGATTGGACAATGATCCGACTGGACTAGACATGAGATCAAGGCAACCGAGGCCCTTGCAGAAGGCGCTGAGATCATTGACCATTCGCCAGTTGGGTTGCGGTATGTCTGGAAGAGTGTCAGCGACCTGCCAGGACTGCGTTTGTAGCCACAGTGTCTACATAGATTACTTCTGTGAAGCTGAGCTCCTGCTTCAATTCTCGACAATCTATGACAATGGAAGAAGAAGGCGAAGCCAAGGCGCAGGTTCATCACCGAAATAAAGAAGGCGTTGAACACACTCCTCGGTCATGCACTTCCGGGTTCTTCCTTCCTACCACGATGCAGATGTCCGTATACCTAAGAGAAGGAACAGATGTGTCTAATATTCAAAACCTACCTAGATACCTGCATACCTACATACATACCTACATACTTACATACCGACGACCAGCGAACAAAAAATAACACGCGCATTCCTGCACGTATGTGTATGAAATATACATCTACATAAATACATAAATGTTATATCCCTCTCCCTACATATATACATATGAATATACATGGCAGGCACCTTTAAACCTGTCGGGTGTATTTTACTAGCTGTCAGTATTTACAAAACTTGAAGCTCATTTGTTTTTTACACCACCAGATACCCGTGAATAGACCCGACAAGTTTTGGACTTAAAAGAAAATTTGGAATGTTGATGATGCTTGAAGTGAATGAGTGAATCTGCCAGTATGTTCTTCATCCCTCCTTGCACCAGTGGCGGCCGTAGTACGTAAGAATGACTAGGATGATGATTTTTGTAGATACTATTATTAGTATTAGACAGGGTTGTTGTTGCTGATGTTATCAACGCTTTTTTGCTCCTTTCCTGTGCAACACTATTTGTCAATGCTTTTGCACGCTTTTGCTCTGTTGGAGAGTATGTGCTTTGTGAATGGTGTCTAGCGCTGTTTAGACCCGCAGTGTTGATTTCTGTTGTTTGCAGCATTGATTGCTGGACTTCTAGGTGGTTACATATCTTTTATGCTTCTGTGTCAGCTGGTCCTGTCACTCCTTTAGCGTATGTCCGCTTCCAGCTTTCCAACTCGAACATCAACTGTCAAGCCCCAGCCGGTTTACAAACACGGTGACCAACAACAGCAACAGCAACAGCAACCGCAACTACCAATAACAACAACGACAACAACAACAACAACAACAACAACAACAACAACTTCTTGTGCTTTTATTCTCAATCCCGCTATCATTAGGAATAGTCATCATCAGAGTATAGAAAATCAGGGCCACAGCGAACAGCTAGATAAATAGTAGCACGAATCACCATAGCAGTAACTGAAATCATCATGACCATAACAATCAGGATAATCGCAGGAATGGTGATCATAACGTACGAGTAAAGCAAGTGGCAATAATGCTACCGGCAGTTCAGCAAGTCAACTCACCATGACAACCAGAGACGAGGCAGGTGATTGCTATGATCGAGCTTATGATAACGATGATAACGATGATGATGATGATGATGATGATGATTACTACACGTTATTTTTGGTCATGGTGGTCGTTGTGATTGTTGTTGCTGCCGTGGTGGCCATTGCGGTTGTCGTCGTCCCTGTTGCTGTGATTGTGGTGGCAACTGTGAGTGTTATACACTGCATGTGTATATAAATATGTATACATGCGCATACACAAATATATAAATACATAAACAAGTAAGTAAAACTACAAATAAATAAATAAATAAATATATATATATATATAACATAAATATTCTGTGTTTCTGTGTCAGCTCTAACATCAAGTCGCGTTTATGCGCACGGGGGTGTCCTCTTCCCCCTCCCCTGTTTCAATCATTGAAATGGGGTCGACTTCAATTTATAAAGAAACTTTGGGAAGGAATTTAAGTGATTTCACAGACAGCCTTGTCAAATACTGCACATTGACCTAATTTTGACACGCAGGTCAAACAAATCAATTGGCCCCTCATCCATGCATTGGGGAGTGTTCCCCCCTACTTCCAAAGCTCAATACTTGCAAGAACTGGGATGGCGTCGACTGCAATTGTTTCAATATTTTGGGCCCCGAATTCTTGAAATAATTGATATGGGGTCGTTGAGTAACTTTTCAATTATTGATATGTTGGGGTGCACGGCCCCAACTATTTCAGTTACTTCACAAACTTTGCATTTGGTTGGCCCCTCCTCCTTCCATTTGAGGAGGGTTCCTCCGTGTCTCAGTAATCGCAATGGGGTCGACTTGAATCGCTTCCAAATTTTTGGGCCCAAATACTTGAATTAATTGAAATGGGGTCGCCTTTAACTGTTTCAATTATTGACATGGGGGAGGGCCCCCCAAATGGACAAAGGTCGGGATTTCAATTGTCTCAAACATTGTGAGCCCCAATTTGATGAACTAGTCGAAATTGACGCCTCATCCATCCATTCAAGAGGGCTCGCCCCCTCACTCTTTTAATACTTGAACTACCTGAAATGGAGTTGATTTCGATTGTTGCAAAAATGTTAGGCCCCATAGTTGATATACTTGGAATGGGGTCGATTCCAATTAAATACCTATGTAACTGTGTCACGTAATGGAATTGCAACGGGTGGAATGCCCCCAAATAACGCCCCCCGCCCCCCTCTCCTCTCCTTCCATTCTTTGTCCTAAATGCCGGTATTGTATGTCAATGCACAATTCAGTCAACCAAGGGTCAAGTACGTCCCCACGACGACATCCTGCAGAAGGCTCAAGGCAAGCAGTCATGAGAGCCGGAGAGCAAAACCTGTCCCTGAACGATGCTGGCACAAGACCTGTGCTGCTGTGCTGCACTGCGGGTATACTTCGATGCCATTGCTTGCAGGGCAGGAGGCCCGGATAGGGCAAGTGTGGTACAGAACCTATCACCTTGCAAGGAGAACGCCAAAGCTGCTGTGCCAGAGCCCGGCCAAAGCCAACCTTGTTCAACTTGAGCCGTGGAATGCAGGCAGCGATCAAGTACCTCAAACGGAAGGATGGATGCGGGCACTTCACAGACTGCCAACGACACGTCCCAAGAAGCAACAACCATCAGCTGGTGACAGCTCTGCCCTGGCGCATTGACTTCCTGAGGTCTACTGTAAAGCTTTTCACGTGTCTCATCTACTACCAAGTCGAGCTGATAGAGAATGCCCAGAATGTGTCGAAGACAGCCTCGCAGCTTGAGACATGTTACGCCAATGTGTTCTGGCACATCTGGCGGCAGTGCGCAACCAAATCGGTGCAGATGGACAACACGCACACGATGTGCGTACATATGTTTGGCTGAGAACTTGATCTATTATTTGACCTGGCTGTTGAGCGCAGCATAAACATCTAATCACTATCTCAACTATCATTACGATTACTACTGCTATTAGTATTATTACTATAATATAATTCGTATTTGGCGATTATGATCGTTATCATGACTGTTATTGACAGATGATATGATCCTTTTATTGCCATTATTATTTTCATTACTGTTATTACGATTATTGATCTTCTTATTATCACTTTTATTTATCATTATTGCTATTATATCTATAATTGTTTTGGTTGTAGTTACCATTATTGGGAAAATGTCTTGGCATTCACCCGTCACATGTCGAAGGTCATGACCATCCCTCCGGTTCGTGGATAAACCAAAATTCAGTGTGTCTATCCCGGCTGGCTTTCCCAACTCTTTATGCGGTTCTCCCTTGAAACCAACGCAGCGAATTCACAGGGATCGGGAGGCTTGCTGCATTGTCATTTCTCATGTTTGTAAAAAGGAAGCAGTTGACAACACCAATAACGTTTCAAGGAGGTCTCTGGCACCGTAGGCACTGCACCTGTGTCTACATCTTTTGCTCATCTTATCTTGTCTCTGTTTGTTGTCTCCTTCTGTCCAATGTTGGGTAAGACCGACCGAGGAAGAAACAACTGAGGCCAAACGAACTCCCCGACACGCCCCAAAACGCTTTCCCACGTAGGGAGCGTGCACGACCAAAGACGCGCCACTCGCGAACGTTTCG